CTTGGGATTGGGTCAACCAATGATTGTTATTCACAGTCAGGGGACGTGGGACAACACGTTCTGATTGGTTCAAATGCGCAAACAGTAAACCGCCGGGGACATCTGTTTTCCAAATCCCAATTGCACAAACGGACACGTGCAATCAGAGTTGTGTGTACACAGACGCACAAACAGCATAGGATACACATACACGTGTGTGTGTGCGCGCGCATCCATTGGGTTGCGTACGTCCACAGACTCATTGAACGTTCGGCCCAGAAGGCAAGGGCATCAACAAACGGTGGCAGTCATGCGAGATGGTCTGCGACGTCTGCAAGTACCAGTTCTATTGATTCGAAGCAAACCAAATAGCACCGGTGTTCCCAATATGCAATGACTGACAGATGTATTTGTAATTACTGTCAACATTCCAGGTTTGTTCACACTGACATTACAATCGGTAATTAACATAGGTAGATAATTCACTACACCACGTGGGAATAATTACATTGGGGATGCCAAACATTGTTATTGTTTCCGGTGGACAAATGGGATGATCAAATGAGCTCAGAGCAATGGATTGATCACGTGTTGTTACACTTGATATACTGGTGAGCAAAAGGACAAATAAATGAACTTCACTCAATGTGGACTAATAAACTGGTGAGGCATTTCACACTGATCTGGAATGTGTAAATAAGATCAAAGACATTATGGGAATAATTTACAAGTTCATGTTTTCTCGTGTTGCGGTTAAAAGACAGTGATACATACAGTTCCTTGTGTAAAATGTCACATGATGTGGGCTGTTTCCATTGCTGAAAGCAGCTTCACTCATGTTGGAATGTAAGGTATACTAATGCTTCATCAAGTTTCAGTTTGAAAGATTCAATACACCTAGGCTACCATGCGGAATCCTCTGAGAAATGAACGCATCGATGGGCGGTGGTGGCCCGGTGGTAACGTCACCAAATTATCACCCCAGGGATGTGTGTTCGAATCCCACCACCACCGCCTGACTTACCCATTGTGCTAAATAGCAGCCCTTTGATTGGCCGCTTCCCCCCTTCCTGAAAATTGCACCATTGCATGTTCAATAAAATGAGGTAAAATAAAAAGATAAAGATAAAAAGGCTCGATGCGAAAAGTACGGGCTTAAACATTCCATAAATTTGTAACTTTTCGGAATGGATTCCTTGAAGTCTCTACCATTGAGACGTTGAAAGTGCAAGCTTTGTAAATACTGCACCATCGACTGACGTTATAGCCTCATCATCATTCCGTAGCATAACAGAAGACGATCGAGGGTAATTCTGAATTGTCCTCCAATGTTTAAACTTCGCATGGTTCCTTCCTGATGGAGGAATTGTAAGCGACCATTGTCAACGCATTTCTCACTGCATATAACTGTTAACCCCTGGGGTGCATGCTAGATAGCCCTAATCCGTGACCTTTCTGCAAACGAGGAAAATAGTGTCAAATTTTTAATCGCAGACCGTTTGATTGATCACATGATCTTACACGGAAAGCGACTACCTTATTGAGCTCTTCCAATATACAGAAAAGTAGTGTATTCGATGCGATGAGTTCCCAGCATCCCACCGCAAACAAAAGACACCGTAAATATAGTTGAATATGAACTGACTGATCAATGTTTGTTAGGCTCCTAGTATTATCCATATTAGGATGAAGATTCAAAAAAGTGGTGCACTATTTTTAGCTTCAAGAAACCCGAACTGTGTTTCCTGAGACAGATTTTGTACTATTTATTATCTCACTATCTAGAGATAGCCCTATATGATTCATGAACTGCGAATTGAACTGATAGGCATTTACCAGAATCCCATAAATGCTAAACTACAGATAAGTCATCCCAGTCTCTAACAATTTTAATTCACTTACCACTAGCTAATAGGTTGTCTTTCTTTCCTCTAAAAAGGTATAGAAATAATTTCAAATAACAAGAAAAAACTTGATTCAGACCTTGACTGGCGCTCGTCGTACTAGCTACCAGTTATTTCTTGTGTGCGATGGTTCTCATTATTCCATAAAAGTCCAATTTCACCGTTGAAGCTCAACACTGAGCTGAAACCAGAGCGGTCCTAGATTATTAGTAAGGTTATAACTCCCGAATCAGTTGCAAGCATTTTGTAACTGATTTGGGACCGAAAAATATGAAATGACACAGAAATATAGAATGTAATATAGGCCATTGTATTGTACTGTACTGTGTATAACTTTTGCAAGCACTAGAGCTCAAATTTCAGTTTTTAAAAAATCACACACGCTAACCATCACAATGCACATAGCAAACTAAGAAAAAAGTTTCACAAATTTGACGATATTTCCTAACTCAAGGTTAAGAAAAAGTTCACTTATTGTCCCCTCTTTGTTTACGAGTACACGAGCAAGATACGGTATAGTTGAATTGGGGTAAGCGTTAATTCGAGATGAAATTTGGCGGAATTGGGAGTGTGTTGAATAATGGGAACGACATCATGTCAGTTCTGCGTGCAATGGGTGCTCAGGATATGTTAGAATCCTCTCAGCAAATTTCACACAGGAAGTTACATGATACGCTGAAAGTTTTAAAGCTAACTCATTCACAGGAGTAGAAGAGACAAGTCTAATAATGGTTAGACTGCGGCGTAAGACTTTATAATCCTCTTTGAGTAAGCCAGGAAAAATGACTGGGGAACAGCAGAGTAATATGGGGAAAACATACCGATAAACAAAGATAGAAATAACTGACTGGGATGCACGAAACTGCCTCAGCTTTCGAATTTGAAATGATAAGCACCGCAGTTTATCAATGCAGTTGTGGATGTGGGTTGACCAATGAAGATTGCCATCTATGGTTACACCAAGATATTTGACAGAGTTCATTCTGGATAAAGGATTGTTATTGATTACTGTGGGGTGTCGGATATGGAGAGCGAACAAAACTATATAAACACTCAATACATTTAATGGGGTTCAGGGTTAGCCCCGATGAGGAGGAGAATGACTGAATTTGATCAAGATTATCGATGAAAGAACTTAGATCAGAGTAAGAAGAAATGGGCTGGCACAACACGTCATCTGCATATTTCAAAATTCGTGCGGGAGAAACACAGGGAATGTCGCAACATAAGTGGAATATAAGTATGTGGATAGCACAACTCCTTGAAGAACCCCGGAGTTGTTGAGTAAGGGTTTTGATGTGGCTCTCGCCAATCTAGTGGTTTATACTCTTTCAGTAAAATAGTTTGATAGCCAAGCTAAAAACTGCTTGGGGTATGCAAACAATGCCAGTTTTTGTAATAACTTAGATTGAGGAATTGAATCAAATGCAGAAGAATAGTCGAGAAAAACACACCGAGCAGACCTAACAGAGCTGTTCAAAGACGTATTGATACAATGAATGAGGGTGAAGACTGCGTCCAAGGTAGATCTATTACGTTTGTCAGCAAACTGTAACGGATCACTGGGAATGTTTATAGATTTCTGAAGGCGTTTGAGGATGGTCTTTTTAGTCAATTTAAGAGCTGAAGATGTTAATGCTATGGGGCAAAAAAGTTAGGAGAGGATTGGATGCTTTGGCTATCGGTATGATTGTGACCGGCCTCCAACAGTCGGGGATAGTGAAAGAATTAAGAGATTCATTGACAATCGAGGTAATTGCCCCAGCTAGGGAAGCAGCACCAAATTTGAAGAGGGCTGGATTTAAGTCATCTGGGCCTGCAGCAGAAAACGAATTATAGCTTTTTAGGAGTTTTAACACATCACGATATGAGACTGGTTCCACGTTACAAACATTTTGTGATGACTAGGCAGGAAGAATGTCCGAAAAGGGAGGAGTAATTTATTTGAACAGCGTTCCCATGTATACGGGAGTTACAACAGAAAAATTGCAGAATGCGTGTTTCCTAAGTTGCGTCAAGCTATTCCGTTAATCGTGTTTAATGTATGTGATTGCTTGAATAATTCACGTTTTTGTATACATATTTTGTATAGATATATTTTGTATGTTTATATTCATAATGTCAGTTTGCTTAACCCGTTATATGCACACATTACTGTTGGGGACACATCGCGTTTCATAGAGTTATTGCCACAGTTGTACTTTTTCCTGTTTTATTCCTGGAAAACAGTCTATTCAACAACTGTAATCCGTTTAGATACAATTATAGTCTCCTTCTTATGTGATCTATGCAAAACGGTGCGGTTAATATGAAAGTTTCGCAGTCCGAGCAGTTGTCCTATGGTGCTATCCATTCACTTTATTTGAAAACTTGGTGTCAGATTA